CACCTCCCCGCCCCGCCGCGCACCCACGCCCATGAAAGCGTAGGCGCTGCTGTGGAGTGAATGGGGGAGGGAAGAGGGAGGGGAAGTGATGATGGAGGGGGAAAGGGGTGGGGGGTGCAGAACCTCCTGACCTAATGTCCGCACTGAGAATTGCTTCTGGATGTTGGTCTGCATGAGGGGATAAGTTATGGAAGTAGCTGTGTGGATGTGTCTCTGTCCCTGCCCCTCCTCTCTCTCTTCCCACCATTTCCTCTCTTTTCTGGTATCCTCCTTGACCCCCGCAGCCAGACAAACCCCCGCGCTGTCTAAGCAAAGCAAAAAGGGGTTCGCTCGTAAAATACAGAGAATGCAGTAAAACGCGTTTCGTAAATAGAGTGGGTGCAGCCTTGACTTTCCGCGGACTAATCTTAAACACCCACCACGCAGGGTGTGATGACTTTAAAAACGTTATTTTCACTTTTTCGGCATTATCTTTTGAACGGGAAGACGTGAATGTGACGTGAGCGTGAATGAGTGATTATTAGAAAGAGAAACGTTCACTGAATTTTCGTTACCCTATCACCGGAAGTGCCCAGACTAGGCTACTCCTTGTGCCCTAAAATAATTTTCGGAACAAAGTAACTTTAACGCAAATAAATCATTTTGTAACGAGAATTATGTTAGGGCACAAGGAGTAGTCTGGGCACCTCCGGTTCCAGTTTATCACTGTGTCAAAGATGACTTTGAAAAGTGTTGCAATTTCCAAACAAAAGACCTCTAAATTGTGTTTCATAATAGATATATGCAGTACTTTTGCACGTACTTTGCAACGCCTTAAAAAGTGTGACCACTGTGTTATGCACAAAGTGGTGTATAAGGGACATGTCATTCACAGAGAAATGTGTGACTTGTGGTAAAAAGTGTAAGCCACTTTGAAGTGTTCAAGTGTCACACACTTCTATTTTTAGAGTGAGGACAGGTTGTAAACACCTTCGTTACTACTTTAATAGGTTTCAGATAAGGGGCTTAACCGATTTGTTTTTTTTATCTTGCAGACGGACGCTAAAATGGTGTTCGACGTCATCCAGAGAATGGAGGATACGGAGGCATTTAGTGAGGAACTTCTAGCAGCAATGAAACGTCTCTGGAGTGATAGCGGGATGCAGCAATGTTTCCAGCGGTCCAACGAGTATCAGCTCAACGACTCGGCCAAGTAGTAAGTAACACCAGGGAACACTAACGTACCTAGTGCACAAATAAATATTGTGTACTTCACATATAAATATGTTACACGTACCAGTTTGCGTTAAACTCAGTCAATATTTTGGAAGTGCGACAAACTTGTTCTGCTAAATCATGTGGGAAATTTTAAGTAAACTATGCATAAGGATTTACACTTACTGGCTGTGTGTGGAATAGCAGAACGTCAGAATTCCCAGTGTTAATAGAAGATAAATTTTCAAAGAATATTTAAAACTTATTTATGGGGGAGGAATCTTTTACTGGTATAATAAGGGTCTACTTATTTGTGGAAATAATTGTTAACTGCTTAGAAATAAGAGGCGGCCAGAAAGTGTACGTTCGTCTTTCTAAGATTATTCATCAAACTCCGGGAGCTGCAGGCAATGTGTTGCCTATATATCAGGATCAGCAGGCCCTTTACGCAGGCTGATGATGCTGATGTTATTCATAATTCGTAAAGGCTGGAGACGGACGTACTTTCTGGATAACCCCCAATTTGGACGGTATTGTAATAGTTATTATCGTTTTAATTCATCTTATTTGAAGGGATTCGCAGGCTCAAGGATTTACTTGTTCAAAACTGAATAAGTGTCACACCACACTTTGACGGCGTTGACATTAACGACAAACCCCCAAAATGTCACTTTTTTTCCTGTTTTGTCCTTGTTTTCGTGGCTATAAGCGTAATAGATCCCCACCCCCTTTTCCATCTCCCATTCACTCCAGACCCCGTCCCCGTCCACACACCAAGCTTTGCTCGGAGCAAAATAAACTGCTTATGTTCTTGCTTTCTAGTACGTCATCTGCCCGGGCCCGGGGTTGTACACTCTGAAACTATGTTCGCGAAAGATTTGCGGAGTACTATGCAAAAAGGTTATCTGTTTGCATGAAATACTTGGAACTTACTTTGTGCAGCACATGCAGCTTGTTTTTACCAGGGTCACCCAATTCTGACTTTGTTCTACAAACCACTAAAAAGACTGCTGCGCGTGTTCTTAAAAGAGCCTGGTTCTTTTCTTTAGGTGCCGTCACGGCATAGAGATAAGCTGGAAGTCCAGCTGGGAAAGAATAAATATTAAATATCTTTATGACCATTTCCCAGCAGTAAGAAAGAGCAATTGGGTCGGTGGTGGTAGTAGTATCGTCCCAGTTAACCGTGTATAGTTGACACCGTTTAATAGTTTTGCCGGATTTTTAGTGACTGTAGGTGGAGAGAGAGAGAGAGAGAGAGAGAGAGAGAGAGAGAGAGAGAGAGAGAGAGAGAGAGAGAGAGAAGCTGGGCGCTGACTGCTGAGATTTAAATCAAAGCTGCAACTGCAGTACGAATTTCTGCCTTGTCGCACAAACTGCACCGGCACAGCACCAGGACTCCTCCAGAGTAGGGTTCCCCGAAGGAAAGAGATCGTCAAACCGACTTCATATTTTATGGTCGGTCTTTTGCGTGCCCAACCAACTCAGCGCTGTTTTAAGGGTGTGCGTGCTGTAAGCCTACTGCTAGTGTAACGAAGTCAGCACTACCTGTTTTTTTTCTAGGCCTCTAGATTTTACGCGGTTTTACCAAAATTACAGTAAAGTATGAAACTTCTTTGTTTCATATGAGATAAAAATTGTTCACAGTTTGGAAGGGTATCGTTGACACGATGTTGTCGTTGTTATTGAGACCGAACAAAGGCCACCATTCAAGTCTTCACTTCACAATTATTTGTACATCTCTCCCTCTCTCTCTCCCCGCAGAACCGTGTTGGCCAGAGCTCATCGTTTCATTCAGCGTCATTCGCTTTACGATCGGCGGTCGCGAGGTATCGATTCGAGAACCAACATGCAACTCCCCCCCTCCCCTTTTTTCTCCGCCTTTTCCGACACGCAGGGTGACTGGTATCGGGCGGCTCGGGTCACCCCCTTACCATACAGAAAGGCACTAAATCGTTAGCACCCTTCGAAACTCCTTGGCACCCCATTATACAAGATGCTCAGCCCGGCTCAGTGGCACCTTTGTTTTTCTGTCGGGGTTTCCAGTGTTTCACGCGCCGTAGGGCACTGGAAAAAAAGAACGCCTTACACTCATTTGATGGAAATGAATAAGCCATGTTATTTTCGGTTGCATTTGACTAGAGACACAGGGTGGCCGCTATGTCCCGTCGGAGAATACGTATACTAGCGCGAATGTACGCGGGTGCGAACGGGTTTTCCTATTGTCTCTTGCCAGCCTCTAGGCAACCCGTCCGCACATCAGCATGTGGCTTAGTATACGCATTTGCTTCGACGGGACCCAGCAACCACCACATGTAAATAGTGACGAAATGGCAGCAAAGCTCATGTTCATGTACGCAAAGCAGCCAATACTACTGTAATGCCTTTGTTTGCCTGTCCTACCGCATGTGGGTACGGATGGACAACATTACCTTTGATACCCTTTCGCATAGCCACAGCTCTCCTAGGGGTGTCACTCACCCCCGGCCTGCTGAAAGCTACACGTGGAGGGTGTCAGGTCTATGACGAAAAGTGACCGGGGGAGGAGGAAAAGTGGGGAGGGGGGTGGGGCTACTTACTGGTAACTGGTAGGTTGACGCGACCCCTACAGTATACTACAACCACGGTAGGAGTAGAAAGCAGACTTTTATGATATACAGCCTCCCAATCGTACCGTCTTCAAAACATCGGGGGTGACAGCTCATAATTTAAGTGCAACCGTTATTGTTAAAATAGACAATGCAACATGCAACAGGTATTATCGAGGCATCATTGCGTGAATCGCACTGTGCTGGTTTAAAAATTAATGATGCTGTTGTACTGACAGGAAAATGCACTTTTACCTTCAGTAGTCTGTCCTCTTCGTGTAGCTGTACTGTTGAATTTAGTTAGTTAGATTTTCGAGTGTTTTATCTGTTGTTTGTGTTGTCCTTTTCTCTTCTTTTTCTGTCATTTTGCGCTTGCGATGCGCATGCGATATGCGCAGGCGATGCGCAGGCGATGCGCAGGCGATGCGCAGGCGATGCGCAAGCGATGCGCAAGCGATGCGCAAGCGACGCGCAGGCGACGCGCAGGCGACGCGCAAGCGATGCGCAAGCGACGCGCAGGCGACGCGCAGGCGACGCGCAGGCGACGCGCAGGCGACGCGCAGGCGACGCGCAGGCGACGCGCAGGCGACGCGCAAGCGACGAGCAAGCGACGCGCAGGCGACGCGCAAGCGACGCGCAAGCGATGCGCAAGCGATGCGCAGGCGACGCGCAAGCGATGCCGCAACACCGGTAAAACAAATGGAAAAAGTTGCTCGCCAATTGGTGTACTTTTAAAATTGTGCAAACTTTGGCACACTTTCTGGTGTCGGATTTAAACTTAACATCACAAAGTGTGCAAACTATGCACACTTTGCAAACGTCTAAGCAACTGTACACCACCCGGTGTGCAACCTTTGACACTTGGTTTGTGTTTCCTGTATTATTACTAAGACCAGTGTGAAATCAAGTGTGCAGAATTTGCACACTCTCCAAACTTTTAAGGTTTGCACACTATGAAGTGTGCTCTATGTTTAAACACCATGAAGTGTGCCAATTAGAGAAAAGTACCCCATAGCGTGTGCACAAGACGCACATTTGTTTTACCCGTGAAGGGACGCGCAGCCATTAGCGTAGATCATTCTATTATTATAACAGGTCGCTCTGTTGCAACTGTGGTTTTTTTTCTCGCGTTTCAATAGTGGAGCTGTCCTATTGTTTCGTTATCAGATAATATGCAAGAGACATAAGTGATCACCTAGGAAATACGTTCGTCAGCCGTTACAAACTGTTTTAGCCTGTGCCTTGGGATAGCTCTCATAACGCCTGATAGGTAGGCAAAATCTTGCCTGCATTGCACGCGTGTACTGCAGGTTGGCCTACCCCAGGTCTCGCAGGCGCCGAGATCCCGTAATTTGCCGAATGAACTTCAGAAAGACGGACGTACTTTCTGGCCGATGACCAATCCGAGCCAAAATGGAGCACATGCGATGCGCGTGTGGTTGTGTGTAATCTCAAGCTAGCTATTTTTTGTGCATATATTTCTTTGTTGATTTTACGCGCAAAAATACTTGGTTTCACTAGAGTCGCTGAGCCGTGCGTGCTTTGAATTAGGGTCGAGTGATTTGTATGAAATCATGCATTTTAACGCACAAATTGTCCAAAACGAAACGTAGGTTTAAATTAATGTTTTTTGCACAAAAACATACAAATACATTTATTGTGTACCAGGTATATATTTGAATACGCTCCAGTCCTGCGGCAATGCATTTTCGATACAAGTGGATTTTGAGATGGGGGAGGATGGGGACATCGTCTCTAGTAAGCCGCTCTCGAAGCGCCTGAAAGGATAGGCAACATCTTACCTGCATTACATGTGTGCACTGCAGGTTGGCCTACCCCGAGTCTCGCAGGCGTCGATCCCGTAAATGAATAAACTTAAGAAAGACGGACGCACTTTCTGGTCGGACACCGACCCACGCGCAAGTGATGCGCAAGTGATGCGCAAGCGATGGCGCAAGCGATGCGCAAGTGATGGCGCAAGCGATGGCGCTAGCGATGGCACAAGCGATGGCGCAAGCGATGCTCAAGCGATGGCGCTAGCGATGGCGCTAGCGATGCGCAGGCGATATGGCGCAAGCGATGGCGCAAGCGATGGCGCAAGCGATATGGCGCAAGCGATGGCAAAAGCGATGCGCAAGCGATGCGCAGGCGTAGCGGGGCGCAGATGGTAGTTTCTTAAAAAATCAGCTAATACTGAACAAACAAAATTGATCTTCTTCACACGTATACATCTAACTAAATCGTTTTTAGACCGTCCTCAAGTCTGCCTCTACCGGAAGGCAAGGTGCCTATGCCCCCCCCCCTCTTTCTTTCCAGACTGCGGCATAAGCAGAAGGGGCACTTCAGTGTGGCGTATCTGGCAGGCCGGGCGGTCTTGAGGCTGCCCCCCTCCCTCCCCTTTCACCCGGCTGAGCCGGCGTTCGGCAGGGCTATGATCCAGACGGCAGGATTTCCAAATACGAGGGAGAGCTAGACCACAGCCCTCATCCTAAATTTGGATCACCTACTTTCGAGATCGATTCTTGATTGTGATTTTTAATACTGTAAAATGGCGCTAATATTACGCGTTAGTGTGTGCAACTGGTGATCAGTCCTCAATATAAATCCATGTTACTTATGTGTGTGAGCTGATATTTTAACTTGAAACTATTGTCGCGCCTGTGAACTCAACTCGAGTTACGTAGTATTGTCTGTGTGTGCGTGTGTGTGCCGTCCTGTGTGGTAGTTCGCATGTTTCGTGTTTCTTGTCTGCAAACGCTTCGGTCTTCTACTTCTCCGGAGCCCTGTCTTTTCATTATACTTTTATATATATATATATATATTTCTTCACCAGGTGGCTTATTAACCCCACGCACTCTTGTTGTTATAGTGTACCGCATGTGCAGGTGGGTTGCCAATGCCTACTAAAGGCTAGCGAAAAAAAAGGATTTGAGATATTGAAATGGCGGGTATGCGGAAAAGTTGTATTTTTCGATGTAGAATCCAGTGCAATTTTTTTATTTTGAGATCGGCCCAACGAGGTCAAAGTTGCGCAGTAGCTCGTATGGGAAAAATCGTCAAAAATCATTAAAAAATGAAAATTGAAAATTTAGGCTTCGTATCTGATGTTTGTTGAAAATCTTTTTTGAGAGATGCAATCTACGCCAAAGGCATACAGTGATGTATCACACTTAATATTATAGTGAACTGTTCAGTCCCGGCCAGCTATCAATTTTAGCCAAAGTTGCATCAAATTGCACAAAAGTCATGAAATTTTGCAGCCTACACCGCCTAAACCATGGGTTGCAATATCAAGTACGATACGTCACCGGATGCTTTTCTGGTCGTAGATTGCATTTCTGAAAACAGATTTTCAAAAAACATCAGATACAAAGCCTAAATTTTCAATTTTCATTTTTTCATTTTTTGTTTACGATTTTTCCCGTAAGTGTTAATGCGTAACTTTGAACCCGTTGCGCGATCGGAAAATATTGTCCGATCTCAAAATATAAATTCACTGGATTCTACATCGAAAAAGACGACTTTTCCGCATACCCGCCATTTCAATATCTCAAACCCTTTTTTTTTTCGCTATCCTCCTCTACACACAGTGGTTTTTTTAGCAGGGGAAAGATCAATTCGCAACTCGATGGGCCCCAAGAACGTCCCTCGATCTCCGAGAGTGACGCTTCAAC